ATAATATAATATAATATAATATAATATAATATAATATAATATAATATCACAGAAAATACAACAATTTCTATTTTTAACAGATTTTTTTGTTAAACAGATTTTGAACAGAATTTCTAAACATATTTCTTTAAAAAACTAAATGTTTTTCTTGTAATTCCAGATGTGACACATCCGTTCGGCTCTGTCCTCTGACCGTCTCTCCTGAACCCCCTGCTGAGCGTCTCCCGCCTCACCTGGTTGTTCAGGAAGGACTCGGCCTGTTTGACGTCTCGCAGGAACAGATGGAAGATGTGAGCCTGCACCAGAACCTCCCTCCTGCTCTCCCACATCTCCAGGAGTTTGTTCCAGCCCACGTCCAGCTTCTGGAGCCACTGCTGCAGGGCGGCCTGCGGGAGGGGCGCCTCCTCCGACTCCAGCAGCTCGTTCATGGCCTGCAGACGCTCGTAGTCTTCCTCATACCTGCAGACAAAAGAGAACAACAACAGATAATCTCCAGATACCTGCAGCGTTTTTACTTATGGAGATTAAGGCCGTGGACATCTAAAATCTGGAGGTTAATTGGAGACTTTGTTATAAATCAATCAGCTTTTTTAATCAAAAATCACTATTCGTCACGCCTGTTTTTTGTTTCTTTTTGTGTTTTGTCATATCTTGGTCTTGTCATTTCCTGTTTTATTTTGAAAAGTACATCCCCTTTTATAAAATGTCACTATGTTTAATTCCTATTTCAATGCATGTAATAATTTCTTATTTGATCTTTTTATCACTGTAAGTGAACTAAGAAACTAAGTTTAACACGTACCCCTGTTACCTTAACATGTCTTACAGTATTGTGTAGCATTATATTGCTTTAATTCTTGCCTTATTGTCTCATTTCTCATCCTGTTGTATATCATATCCTATAGCCTCGTCGTATTTGGAGTTATTTTCTTTGACAGTTTTTAAAGAGGAAGCATCAATGTTGACGTTGGTCCTCCCTAATAAAAACGATGCATTAAAACGTGTAAAAAATGAACTTTTACAGTCACCGTGTAACGCTGTATTTGTAATAACAGCACATCTGAGAACATAAGCGGTTACAAACACTCCACACAAGCGGCAAACGCACGAAAAACCCCACAAGAAATGCGATTAGTCGCTAATTACCTGACTGGATCTAGACAGCGGTTTAAGGCCGCGGACATCTAAAATCTGGAGGTTAATTGAAGACTTTGTTATTAATCAATCAGCTTTTTTTTGTCAAAAAGCACTATTTGTCACGCCTGTTTTTTTGTGGTGTTTTGTCATATGTTGGTCTTGTCATTTCCTGTTTTATTTTGAAAAGTAAATCCCCTTGTACTTCCTTGTGGGTCACTTATTTTGTACATTTCATACCTTTTTTTCCACTCAGAGAGAGTAAATTTAGTTAATAAAGTCCTGCCTTGAGCCTCGTCCTGACACTATCAGACAGAAATCTTCCATCCCGGCGACACAAACGGGATGACCACCTACCGTCCGATCTCCTCCTTGAGGGCGGCGTGCTTGTTGATGAGTTTCTCGGCCTCCTCCAGGCCGTTGGGCAGCTGGTCGGAGGCCGCGGACGTCTGCGTCTGGACCAGCCAGGTGAGGAACGAGTCCAGGTCCTGGCAGGAGAGAGAACAATCTCTGTGATTATTAGAGTTTCTAAATGGGAGGCAAAACCCTCTCTGTGGTTATTAGTTTCTAAATGGGAGGCACAACCCTCTCTGTGGTTATTGGGGTTTCTACGCTCCTCCCTCTGTAATTGTTGACACCTCTGAGCCACCATAGTTCTACCCTTCAGATGGAACAACGGAGGCTCTGAGGGTGTGACTGGAAAAGGGGGCGGGGCCTCTGGGTGTGGGCACCTGTATGAAGCTCTGCAGCCTGCCGGCCACCATCAGCGAGTCCTCGCACCCCTGCAGCGTGCGCTTAAGCTCCTCCCACTCCACGCTGATGCCGTCGAACGGGACCAGGATCTCCATGGCCCGGCCCGGGTGGGCGGTGGCCAGATGCTCCGCCTCCTCCTGCAGCACCAAACGAGGAGGAAATAACTCCTGAGGCTGCTTTTAAGCGAGCATCCTGACGGGCAGGCCGAACCAGAGCTGCACCGTTAATCTGGTCGCCATAGCAACGTCATGTTGTTTAATTATGTCATTGCATAAAAGACTGCGATTTGCCATTATTGTAAACAAATATGCACACGTGTGTGCCTGTGAACGGAATTCTGTCTTAGAAAAAAAGAAAGAAAGAAACTCTTTATCTAACATTTTGAAAGATACAGACATTGAACACAGCCTCCATGAAAATAGAGGCATATAAGCACCAATATCCCAACGAACGGGACGATCTCAGTGAGAAATCAAAAGCTGTTAGCCAGTTGTGTTTCAGGATGTGTTGGCAAATTAGTTTTTTTTCATCAAATACATGCAAAATAAACATGAAATCAACAAAAAAACTAAACTTTTTCGTTTGAAATTCATCGTCCGGCATGTTATCCTGCAGTTTATCATAATTTTTAAGAAATCGTTGGAGAAATGACGTGGTTGCGCCGCCAAGCGAGAGGAACTGAAAACGTTTTTAATAATATTATATTACAGCACAGCGACCAAAGCGTTCCAGGAGATCTGCTGACAGACCATTTTCTGTGTGTTGGTTTCAGAATATAAAGGGAGCCTACGAAGAAATATTTGGATTTAGTCTGCTTGAACCCACGAGACAGAATAGTACCAATTGGGCTATTTTTGGTCAGAGCTAACAACTTTACAGAGTTGTTAGCCCTGCTGGCTAATACCAGATTCCCACGAATTTTGCACCCTGCTTTTAAGTTCAGGTTCTGTATTTTTTTGGTGCCATGTTTGGATGTTTTTAGTTGAAAAATATACGAATTGTTTGTGATTCTCTGTGTTGTCCTTGATATTTAAGCATGCAGACACCGTTAATTTATACTATCGTAATCACAAATGGCAATATAGTCCACAATAATCGCACATATCCATCCAGTGGTGCGATTCACCGGGCTGAACCTGCACACGGCTCCAGTACCTGCAGATGTAGGAGCTTGGGCTCCAGGACGGACAGGGCTCCCTCCATGGTGGAGAGGCGCCTCTGCAGAGCCAGCACTCCCCCCAAATCGCTGCCCATGTACTGGGTGGCGTCGATGGCTTTTCTCTTCTCCTGGATCTGGGACTTTATCTCCGCACACTCCAGCAGGTAGTTCTGCAGGCAGAGCATGGAGTCCAGCTGGTCTTTCTTTTGCTCCACCAGCTCCACGATGCTGTTCCACCTGAACAAAAATAGGAGAACAACCTCAGAACGGCGCCGCCTGCTTTTGTTTCTGCTCATTGCAGGAAGCTCTTTGGGTCTGCGCCTTAATCTGACAAAAGCCCATCACCTCCAACTGAATCTCTCTGAAACTGAACAGCTCATTTTCCCAGCCAAACCAACCACACACCACAACATCCACATCCAGACTGGATCCCCGTCTCTGACTCCACCAAAGGCAGCAAGAAACTTGGGTGTCATGATTGATGACCAGCTGCATCTTGTTGCTTCACACTATTAGACATAAGAAAGATCTGGCCATACCAAACCCAACATGCTCCCCAGCTCCTGGTACAGACTATAGTTATCTCCAGCCTCGACTATTTTAACGCCCTCCTGTTGGGTCTCCCAGCCTGGACGGTAAAACCTTTACAAATGATCCAGAACTTCTGGTCTTCAATCAGCCCAAAAAAGTCTCACGTCACCCCTCTGTTCACCGAGCCTCACTGCTTACCCCCGGTTACCTGTGGATACCCGTAGTTACCCCTGGATACCCGCATCAAATTCAAGTCCCTGATGCCTACAAAGTGCTTAAGGGTCCGGCTCCCGTCTACTTGAACCCTCTCAGAGCCTCATGTCCCAGCTGGTCCCTCGGGTCATCAACAGATTGTCGTCTAGCAGACCTTCACCACGTTACGTTTCAGGTGTTGTTCCAAGGTGGTGGAACGACCTACCAGGCGCTACAAGAACAGCAGCGTCCCTTTCTATCTTTAGGAAACTCTTAAAGACCCACCTCTTCAAAGAGCATCTCCTATCCTGACCCAGACCTCTGTAAACCCCTATTACTCTTTCTGCACTTCCTTCTCTCTCACCTCTGAAATCTTGAAGAACCACGTCCAAACTCTTAAAGACCCACCTCTAAACGCTTAAAGACCCACCTCTAAACTCTTAAAGACCCACCTCTTCAAAGAGTATATCCTATCCTAACTCTTCCCCATACCTCCGTAACCCCCTACTACTCTTTCTCCTCCTCTCTCTCTTGCTGTCACCACTGATTCTGACTGGGGATTTTCCTCTTGGGAACTTATTGTCATGTTGATGACAACTGTAAAATGTAGTCTAAATTTGTACGTCGCTTTGGATAAAAGCGTCTGCTAAATGCATAAACATTTACATTTACATTTAATCCGCCATGTTTTACTGCCTCTCCCGAGTGTGTCCATTGAGAGACCTGAGAGGTCAGACGCCTCAAAGGGATGAAAACAAACTACATTGCTGTTGTGTTCGGCCTCAATCTGCTCCGAACAACACGAGGCGGATCCCGGCTCTCTGCTCAGGCCCCGTCTGCCTCACATGTCGTCATGCAATATGCTCCCCTGAATCTCCTCCAGACCAGCAGGTCTCCATCCAGACCGCCTCGGCCAAGAGGGACCCGCGTGCCAAAGCTCCCTCCTGCCTTTCGACTGTGATGAGGTAATGGCAGAGACGCCGGGAGGCAGACAGTGTGCTCAACAGACCGGCAGGAAGTCAGCTCAGAGCCGCTGACCATAGGGGCATTATAGGTCATTAAGTCCCAGGATGCAGAATTACTCCAGAAACTAAAGCCCAGCGTACACTGTGCGATGTTTTCCAATCGTTGCTCGTAGTTCCAGCTCAAGCTTCACCACCAAATCGTAGGGGTTCAAAGTTCGTAGCTCACGATTTATGTTCTAATGCTATACGACCCGATATCTGACCTCACATTGTACATCCAACAACTGGAAAGAACTAAAAACTGCTTTGGCAATTTCCGTGATTGTGTGTATCTGCTAACTTTAATTGCAGCAATCTCCCCCCAACTTTTCTCTTCTATATTTCGGTCATGATAATACTGGGTGAGCCGGCCAGAGCTCCACAAGTTGTTTGACTCCAAGACACAGGAACAGCCGCCCTGATACTCAGAGTCACTTCCACTGTGTTAGCACAGGGGCAGAGCCAGAGATGGAGGGGAGTCGGGTCCTAACATGGCTTAAATAACACGATTCCCTCACCAGAGCTGACCAGAAACTCAGACCGGTTTGGTTTTCCTCCAACCAGACGATGTGGATCTGGAGGTGGTGACAGGTGGTGACTCCTGATCCAAGAAATTCTCGTACAAGTGAAAAATCATGTAAAAAATGGACAAAAATCGCACAATGTATGCCTTGCTTAAAGGATATGACAGATCTGACTGATTATTATTTCAGATTGATGATTAATGAGGGGGTCTGTCCTTTATTCTGTTGTCAGAACATGGCTGCCATCCTGCAAGGCGCCATTTCGAATCAAGTGCAAGTTTTTGCAATGAGGAAGGGGTCATGTAGCATGTCAGAGAAGACCTAAGAAATTGACCAGATTTGTAAGATATCTAGAGGCTAGAAAGCTTCAACAGCAACTAAACCAAAGAAGCCTTTTGGTTTAGAGGAGAAACATCATAAAGATCAGACAAGAAGTCCAGCTGCCTTCAGTCAGACTCTTAGAAGATGTCTAACATCTAATAGATGCGGGAAAAGGGAAAGGAAAAATACAGCTCGATATTTCTGTGTCGAACAACACAAACCAAAGCCTCAATGAAGATCTGACCACCTGGAACGCGGGTTTAGAGACTCAAACCTATTTTGGTTTAATTCTTGGACAGCTGGTCTTGGCTGGCTTCGGGACGGCGTCACACTGAAACCGGCCCCACACGCAGGCCCACAGAGCTGCTGCCAGACAGACCAGCAGTCAATGAAAGAGGGAAGAGGCCTCCGACCGGTCGACCTGTCTGGCCAGCGACAGTCGGTTAAGAAGCTGCTCGCTTTACCACAGAAAACCATCACCCCACCGATTCATGAGCCGGCTGCCCATCGTTATAAAGAGCACTTTGGAGATTTTCGTCAGAGATTTAAAGACAAGCTGGACTCTGAATGTAAGAAAATAAATAATGGGTGAGGAAGAATGTTAATAAAAAGCTTCGTAAATGTGAAAATGACCAGTTCGGACGCATTTCGTGAAAGGTCCTGGTTCCCCCGGGACTCCAACCCAGAACCCTTTGGCAGAATGGTCCTGGTTCCCCCGGGGACTCCATCCCAGAACCCTCTGGGACCCGAACCCGGAAACCTCTGGGACCCAAACCCAGAACCCTCTTGGACCCAAACCCGGAACCCTCTGGGACCCCGTGTCAGCACCTGGAGTTGAGGTGGTCCTGGCAGCCTCTGACCTCCACAGAGGAGGGATGACCTCCGTCCAGGAGCTGCTGAACTATCTGATTAACGTCCAGGATCCGACCCATCAGGCTGTTCATCTCCTGGTCCAGGCTCTCGAACCTGGAAAAGGAGATGAATCTGGTTAGGACAAGGGGGGGGGGGGCTCCCCAGGGGCTGGTCGTCTCACCTGTGCGCCACCACCTCTACGTCCTCCAGCTTCTCGGGGATCTCCATCTTGTCCAGCCACTGCTCCTTCTCGTCGATCCACAGCTCGCAGGCGTTGACCTCGCTGAACATGCGGTAGACGGCCAGCGCGTCGTGGAGCCACTGCTGCCGGAGCACCGCCACCTCCGCCACCTCCGTGTACAGCTGCTCCACCTCCCCCATCCGCACCTGCACCTCCTGCAGAGGAGCACGGGTCAGCAGGCCTGCCCAGAACTGGACCACCTTAAAGACCCACCTCCAACCTCTTAAAGACCCCTCTCCAAACTCTTAAAGACCCACCTCCAAACTCTTACAGACCCAACTCAAACCTCTTAAAGACCCACCTCTAACCTCCTAAAGACCCATCTTCAAACTCTTAAAGACCTACCTATAACTCTTAAAGACCCACCTCCAACCTCTTAAAGACCTACTTCTAAACACCTAAGGACCCACCTCCAAACTCTTACAGACCCACTTCCAAACTCTTAAAGACCCACCTCTAAAGTCTTAAAGACCCACCTCTAAACTCCTAAAGACCCACCTCTAAACTCTTAAAGACCCACCTCCAGTTCTGAGCAGAACCAGGAAACAGGACCACATCGGTCCAATTCAGGACCAGGAAACAGGACCACATCGGTCCAGTTCCGAGCAGAACCAGGAAACAGGACCACATCAGTCAAGTTTAGAACCAGGACCACATAAGTCCAGTTCAGAACCAGGAAACAGGACCACATCGGTCCAGTTCTCACCAGAACCAGGAAATGGGACCACATCAGTCCAGTTCTGAGCATAACCAAGAACCAGGAAACAGGACCGCATCAGTCCAGTTCAGAACCAGGAAACAGGACCATATCGGTCCAGTTCTGAGCATAACCAAGAACCAGGAAACAGGACCACATCGATCCAGTTCTCAGGTCTCTGCAGGACCAGGAAACAGGACCACATTGGTCCAGTTCTAACCAGAACCAGGAAACAGGACCACATTGGTCCAGTTCTGACCAGAATCAGGAAACAGGACCACATCAGTCCAGTTCCATACCAGGAAACAGGAAACAAGACCACATCAGTCCAGTTCTGACCAGAACCAGGGAATAGGACCGCATCAGTCAAGTTTGGAACCAGGAAATAGGACCACATCAGTCCAGTCCAGAACCAGGAAACAGGACCTCATCGGTCCAGTTCAGAACCAGGACCACATCAGTCCAGTTCTCAGGTCTCTGCAGAACCAGGAAATAGGACCGCATCGGTCCATTTCTAACCAGAACCAGGAAAAAGGACCACATCGGTCCAGTTCCCAGGTCTCTTATTAAGCCTTCCTGAAGACCTGAGACAAAGGCCGATCTCCTGAAACACCAGAGCCTGCCCCCCCTCCCGGGGCCCGGGCGGCGCCACCCACCTCCTGCTGGCGGAACTGCAGCGGCAGCGCGGCGGCGTGCTTGTGCAGCGCCACCACGTGCAGCCGGTGCTTGTCCACGGCCTCGGTCACGCCGCGGTGCTTCTTCAGCAGGGACTGCGTGGAGTACTCGTCGTGGCCGAAGTCCTCGCTGGACACCAGCCGGTAGGCGTCCTGCAGCCAGGCCGCCAGGTCGTCGGTCTCCGTGGAGAACTGGAAGAAGTTGAGCGCCTCCTGCAGGTGGCCCAGGTGCTGCGCCGCCTGGTCCTCCAGACGCTTCCACTCCGCCTTCACCTCCATGATGCGCTCCTGGATCCCCGCCGTGCCGAAGCTCTTCTCGCTCAGGATCTGCTTCCCCCGCTTCATGGTGTTCTGCGGGAGAGGGAGGTAGACGCTCAGGACTCAAACAAACACACAGTCATGGCTCACATTGCTGGAGTGGACCGAACCAAAGGGGAGGAGATAAACTGGAGCACAACAACAGAAGTAAATACAAAATCCTGGGGGATTTCTTGGTGTTTTGTCCTGTCTCCATGGTTGTCTTGTCATTTCCTGTTTTATTTTGAAAGGTACATCCCCTTGTTTCAGGCCTCTTGCACACCCCTGTGTGTCACATGTCTGATTGTCTTCCCTAATTCTTGATTGTGTTCACCTGGGGTTCCCTTGGGTTTAAATAGTCTCTCCTTGTATGGTGCCAGTGGGTTTCGTCTTACATCTTGTCTTAACCTGAACAGAACCATAGATATCCTTTGCTTTGTGCCTTGACCTGGTTTTGGTCCTCTTAGGAGTGATTTTGACTTCATACTTCTTAGTTTTCGTCCTTGTGAGAGAGAGTGTATTTTTTACTTTGTAACTTTGGTCATCCTCCTTTCAGAGTGAGTTTATTTTGTACGTAGTCCACTGTTTAGTTCTGTCTCGTTAGAGAGATTATTATTATTTGATACCTAGTTCATAGCTTTGTCTGCCTCGTTTTCAAGAGTGATTATTATTTAGTACTTTGCCTTTCCACTCCCAGTGATTGCCCCTTTATTTCTATTAAAGTTTTTGCCAAAGATCTCTGCATCTGAGTCCTGCCCGAGTTCAATTTCTGACAGATGCAGATAACAAAGGTGTGTTTTACAGGATATTTTCAGCGTCCAATCAATAGAGCACGCTGGGTATCGGGTTTAGTGAGGTGCCTTGATTGATGTAAGCAGATATAGAGCAAAATAGGTGTTTATGTTCCAGCCCGCTGAGGGCTCAGAGGCCTGAACACACACCTGCAGCAGGGAGCGGTGGGCCAGCAGCTCTCCGGCCAGAGTTTTGTGTTTCTGGAGCAGCCTCAGCACACTGCTCAGGTCCTTCCCATAACCCTGAGCGGCCAGGATGGAGCTCTTCTCCCGGATCCAGGCTTCTGATTCCTCCAGCTCCTGTCGGGACGGCGCACACAACAGAGGCTTTCCAGTCAAGAGAATAACCCGCAAAATGTTTAAAAGGAAACCAAAAAGGAGGGGGAATGAGATAAACTTGGTAGAAAAATAACAACTGGGGAACTAAAGAGACTGAACAGAAAGAACAGAGTAAAATAATATAAAGGAACAGTTGTGATATGTACTGTTATAATGAGGGAAAAATAAAGACTGGTTTGCTTTGTGTGTCAGGGCCAGAGGTTAAAACAGGCTGAATAGATTAAATATATCCAACAAAGAGTCAAACAGCTCATAGGGCCAAAAAAACAAAACATATCCTTCATACACTGAGTTTAACACTCATTAAACCTTCATACGTTTAGATCTGGTGTCTCTAATCTGCAAGAGGCAGATTTTAAAGGACATTTAGCTGTGGACGGTGGCCTGCAGGGCTCATTTCTGAGCCAGCATTTAATCACAAGGAGCAAACAAATTAGCTTCAACACAAACAAGTCGACAAAATGGTCAAAAAAAGGTTCAGAAATCTCCACGGGATGGTCCCTTAAAAGACACGAGCAGGTTTCAGAGCTGGTGCAGAGCCGTTCGAGGCCGTCCCACCTGGAAAAAGGCCCACAGCTTCCTGGACTCCTCCAGCTCAGCGCGTCTTTTGGCCGCCAGCTGTTTCAGCTCCTCCAGACAGGACGACACGTGATTCACACGGTTGCAAATCACCTGCGGGTCACACGGCTGGTAACCTAGGAGACAAAGAGGGGAAGCTAATGGCAGACTCTGTGGACACACCCAGACAGAGATCATCTACAAAAAGAGGGTTTCCTGTCATCTCATCTTCATTTTAGATTAAATCAGTGAAGTCACTGATGTGTTTTAAAGCCACTAAAATGCAGGATCATTCACTTTCAGAGCATGAGATTTACCAAACAAAGTAAACAAATGGTTTCACTGATGGGGAAGCAAACAATAACAGACTATTTATTTGATCTATGAAGGACAAACGCACCACTTTTAGTCTATTTTGAGCTCTGATGATTAATCAAACAGATTTGTTAACCTCATGCTCATCCAGAATTAAGGTCCTTTTAAACTTCACACTATTCTGCGCGGCTAAAACTTGAATAGACACAAGACAGACGTGAGAATTCAAGTCATTAAAGCCAAAAAGGAGGAGAAATTAACCTGTTAAACCTCTGACTCGGTCTCTGAAGTTATTTACAGAAGCCCAACAATTCCCAGTTAATTCCCATTGAATGTGTTAATGTGTGTGTGTGTGTGTGTGTGTGTGTGTGTGTGTGTGTGTGTGTGTATAGATTGTGTGTTTCTCTGGGCCTGGCAATTCACTAAGACATGAAATAACTGTGTGAAAGGTTATAGTCCTCATAAGTTATATAAACCAGATAATGTCCCTATATGTCGCATAAAAATCAGATGTGACCAAAATCTTTGCTCTAGCTAAAATCTCAATAGATGAATGTTTTCCTGAATGCATGGATAGGAAACTCTGGGATTCTCAGACCTGTAGAACCTTTTGGAAAGACACGCCCCCATTTGTCCTGTTTCTGTCATGCGTCCTCATATATAACTAAAACACGTATGTGTGTGTGTGTGTGTGTGTGTGTGTGTGTGTACCCTCGATGGTGCTGAATTTCAGCGCGGCGGCGTTGAGCGTCTCCACCCGCTCGGCCTGCACGCTGATGTCGGCCTCCTGCAGGCCGTGCTTCTGCAGCAGGTCGTCCACCTCCAGCAGGTGTTTCCCAAAGTCCTTGGACAGCAGCTGGACCTGAGAAACCCCCGGAGGCAAAGCCCGGTTACTTTCTATTAGGATATTGTTCAGTATATTGTCTTCTCGGTTAGTTCCCATTTGTCTGGCGCTCGTGAACGCACCATAGGCCGCGTACAGCTCGTGATTTCTTTGCTACGGTGGCCCAGAGGTGTCAACACAAATACAAAAGCCACAACGGAAAAACAAAATTGTATTTGTGTTGTGGCTTTTATATTTGTGTTGACACCTCTGGGCCACCGTACTTTACCTAATCATTGTTTATATCCTAATACCTAGGTGAGCTTAATGGTATTTCATTGTGCTGTATGGTGTTATTGGGTATTGTTTACCAGAATGTGGCTAAGGCTAATACTGCTACTACGCTAATTCTCACCGTGTTTTACCTGTGTTTGTTCACAATATGAGTCATGCCTCATTCTGGATATACTCATTTATGTTGAGATATGTATGTACATTATTTATGTTGTGTTGCACTGATTGCTGTTTGTATTTCTTTGTAGAACCACATACATCTAGTAAATCCAGGATCAAACCAGACATCTGCCTCCGTGTCTTTTAACAGGGACACACCACATAAATCCAGCAAATTTCACACTATCACACTATCTTTTTCTCCTTTTCACAGACTGAGATGACCCAGCTTGTTCACCCCCCCCCCAGTACCTGCGTGTCCTCCATCCAGTCGATCATGTAGACCATGTCCTGGAAGGTCTTCTGCAGGGCCAGGTTCTTCTCCAGCCGGGTCCTGCGCCCGGCCACCAGCTCCTTCAGCAGGCTCCACTGGCCCAGGATGTTCTCCTTGCGGGCGGAGATGCGCCGGATGTCGTAGTAGCCCTCGGCCTCCATCTCGGCGGAGAGCTCCACCACCACCCCGATCCGCTCCTCGTACGAGGCGATGTCGGCCTCGATGGCCTCGTGCTTCTTCATGGCCGCTTCCACGGCCGGCAGGTCGTAGCCGAAGTTGTCCTGGCGGGGACAGAGAGGAGAGGAGGGGCGGGAGGGGGGGGGGGGTTTGAGCAAGCTGTTTTTTTCAAGTAGGTCTGACTGCAGGAAGCCACAGATGGAGATCAAACTCCGCCCACATCCAAGTCGGCCATCTTTCATTAGGTCACCAATGATAATATATGGCAATATAGACATTAATTTAAAAATAGTGAAATTAATCTTGCAAACACTGAATTAAAGTCTATCCATAATATTATGTTAAAATAGTGGATGTTAAATAGGTTTGTACAATAAGTCCAAACAAGTTTAACCAAATAATTTTAATTTCTCACAATTATGAACGCTGGAGGGTTAAGGTTAGGGTTAGGGTTATTGTCAGGGTTAGGTTAGTGGTTAGGGTTAGGTTTAGGTTAATGGTTAGGGTCAGGGTTACGGTTAGGATTAGGGTCAGGGTCAGGGTTAGGATTAGGGTCAGGGTCAGGGTTAGGGTCAGGGTTAGGGAATACAGGTAAGTAAGTGGTTAGGGTTAGGGAGAGGGTCAGGGTTAGGGTTAGGGTTAGGGTCAGGGTCAGGGTTAGGGTTAGGATCAGGGTTAGGGTCAGGGTTAGGGTCGGGATCAGGGTCAGGGTTAGGGTTAGGGTTAGGGTCAGGGTCAGGGTCAGGGTTAACTTTAGGGTTAGGACATCGTTTGTCTTCCGATTTCGTATACACAGTAAAGTTTCGTTTCCACCTGAGAAAGCTGCTAGTCACACGACCTAATGATAATGGCCGACTTGGATGTGGGAGGAGTTGGATATCCAACCGAGGCTCCTACAGACTCGGTTTTTTTAAGCTCCTCTGGGAGCTGCTGGGGGGAGGGCGGCCCCACCTGGGACACCAGCCTCTGGTTCTCGTTGAGCCAGGCTTGCCTCATGGTGGTTTTGTGGTCGAAGCGCTGGGCCAGCAGCTCCAGCTTCTCCTGGCGAATCAGCTCCTTGCGAAGGGCCACGCCCCTCTCGTGCTCCGCCTTTTCCAGCCTCTCCCAGGCCTGCGAGGGGGGCGACAGAAGAAAGATGCCCAGAATGAAACAGACAAGATCAAATGGTGGGAACGCGGACTCTGAGTGTGACTTCAACCTAAACGGGGTCAAATAATGAACATTTTCCACAGTTTTTTACCTCTAGGCATCACTTCCTGTTCAAAAATGTGCACGACCAGTTTGCGAGGTCAGATTTTGAGACACTTTTCAGCATCCAACTCCTCAAGAGTCGCATTCCCTGTGGTGCGTTCAGGCGCTGGTGGAAAGCTGGGACGTCTGGGGTTTATTCCCAGCTGCTGTTTCTCTCTCTACTTCTGCTGACTCAGCAAAGCTGCTTTCATGTGGAAACACAGCAGCGCTTCGCTCCCTGACTACAGCACAGAGACCTACATCTACAGTTCAAGCCCCTAAAAAAAGGGTCACACATTCATATCTGCTCTCAGAAGATGTGCAGATGGATTTGGATTGTTTAAATTGAATTAAAATTCTAGTGGTGGACTGGTTCTTTAGCTGGGAAAAAACAGCCACTCAGAGGCTGGCAGAAGGTGCTATGGGGGGGGGCACCATAAGGATAAGTTCAGTCTTTATGTCTTGAAATGTGGCTGCAGTCAGTGTTCAAACTTTAAATGCTGGCAAACAGCAGCAGGGGGGATTTCCAGGAGCCCCTGAACGCACCACACGAATGAAACCCTGCTAGTTTCTGGAGGCTCTCTCAGGTTCAGAGAGGCTCCGGAAACAAGCAGAGTCTCCCCATCTCCTCACCTATCTGTGAGTCTGGAGGTGAGACACTGGAAAACGTGCGTGTTTGTGCACGTGTGTTGCGTTTGTGTGCGTGTGTCGTGTTTGTGTGTTTTTTGCTCCACCTTGTTGATGTCTGAGATGAGCTTCCCGTCCTGAGGCACGTAGGGTTTCTGGTTGTTGGCTCTGAGTTTGCTTTGGATGGTGAACAGGAGGACCTCCAGGTTCCCCTTCTCCTGGAACCTGCAAGAGAAAAAGCAAACTTCAGATTTAACGTGACAACACAAGCACATTTCCTCGATTTAAAGCCTCCGATTCGTTCGATTTTTTCCCTCCTTTCTGCCCTTCGACCTGAGCTGGACTCTAGCTAGAAACGAGGAGCCGGGGGGGCCTACTTGATGGGCTTCTCCACGGTGCAGTAGGTGGTGAAGGCCTGCAGCTGCTGCTGGACTCCGGTCAGAGAGTTGGCAAACTTCTGGTTGCTGATGACCGCGATGGTCTTCTCGATCCACTCCAGAAGGTCCGAGGCCAGAGCCTCGTAACGGTCGATGACCTTCTCCGCCTCTATGCAGCTGTCCAGCACCTGGGGGGCCGGCAGGATATTCAGAGAAGAAGAGGGAGGAGGAGGAGGAGGAGGAGGAGGAGGAGGAGGAGGAGGAGGAGGAGGAAGAGGTGGAGGAGAAGAAGAAGGAAGAGGTGGAGGAGAAGAAGACAGAAGAGGAGTAGAAGAAGGAAGAGGTGGATGTGAAGAAGAAGGAGGAGGATAAGTATAAGGAGGAGGAGGAGGAGAAGAAGAAGGAAGAGGTGGAGGAGGAGAAGAGGTGGAGGAGGAGAAGAAGGAAGAGGTGGAGGAGGAGAAGAAGAAGGAGAAGGAGGAAAAAGAGGAGGACAAGAAGAATAAGGAGGAGGAGGAAGAGGAGAAAAAGGAAGAGGTAGAGGAGGAGGAGGAGAAGGAGGAGGAGGAGGAGGAGGAGGAGGAGAAGAAGGAAGAGGTGGAGGAGGAGAAGAAGAAAGAGGAGAAGGAGGAGGAGGAAGAGGAGAAGAAGGAAGAGGTAGAGGAGGAGGAGGAGAAAGAGGATGTGGAGAAGAAGAAGAAGGAGGAGGATAAGGATAAGGAGGAGGAGGAGGAAGAGGAGGAGAAGAAAAAGGAGGAGGAGACGAAGAAGGAGGAGGAAATGGAGGAGGAAGAGGAGGAGGAGAACAAGAAGAAACTGGGCTCGGCTCCCGTTACCTTTCCGACTCTCTTCCCCTCCACAATCAGGGCCTTCATCTTGGAGAAGTAGTGGTAGTAGGAGACCACATATGTGATGATGGACTTCTCGTCTGGGTTCTCCGTGTTCACGTCTGAGCGGAAAAGAGGAAAAGCGCCATTAGCAACCGTGAAAATGGACGCCGCGGACGCCATAACAGCGTGCGGCGCTCACCCTCGGGGTCCAGCAGCTTGGTGAGCCCCAGGTGGTGCTCGGCCACGTTGAAGGCCTGCTGGAGGTTGTGGGTTGCATTGGACCGGGTCAGTTTGTGGAACTCGATCAGGTCCGGCCTGTAGGGGGCGACACAGCCCGTCCCGTTAGCGTTCAAACCAAATTAAAAAAAGGCAGCGCCGCGGCCTGAAACTCCCACCTGTGTCTGTGGATGAGGGCGTTGAAGGCCAGGCCGTCCCGCCAGCAGGTGGTGAAGTTCTGGATGTTGACCTCAGGGTACCTGAAACCACATTTAACCCCTTAGAATCCAGCACTTTTAGGCTAAAATGGCTAAAAAAAAAAAGGCTAATATATCAGACCCCCTCGGTGGGAAGTTTCCCCTAAATCACCAGCAGAGTAACTGTGTTTGCCTCTAATGGTTAAAACTCCATCATTTAAAAGCTCTGCAGCCCAAATGATGTTTAAACACTGATATATAATTCTTATTCTTCTCAATTCATTTTCAAATATTCAGTTTTAATAAAAAATTGAAAAAATTAGCAAAAAACCTTGTTATTTTTTCCTATTAAGATGTTTAGATTCTGTTTATTTCCTGTCATTCCTGGACAGAAAAGAGAGTTTTAGTGGTTTTAAAGTTATTTTTGATGCTTTTTGAATGAAATCTGGGGGGAAAACAGGAGAGTTGGGATTGAAATCCTGATGAGCTGGAAACTAAATAATCAAAGAAACTGTCAGAGGAGAGAAAAAACCACCAGAAGAAGAATGGAAGCTGCTATCAGGAGCAGAGAGATGAACTTTAAGCTGATTCTGAGAGGAAAAGGAGCCTTTAGCCGCTTCTCTTTGGGCTTGAACTAATGAATAAATAACTTTAAAGAAGTTTCTCAAAAGAATTTGTTGAGCAGTATGTGTTTCCTGCGTGTTCCCTCTACCACCACAGAAGAAGAAAGCTGGGCGCGGCTCACCCGGCCGTCTTCATCTGGCACCAGAGCAGCAGCGCGTCCTTCGCAGAGCGGGTTTCCCGGTTGTCCTCCGTCTCTATTTTGATCACCTGGATCTGAAAAGACAGCAGCAGAGCAGCCGGTCAGAGCTGTGACCTTTGACCTTTACTAGCCTCTGAAGTGTGAGCTTTGAGCTCTACATGAATAACCGGTGGTCAGTTTGACCCGTTTCTGAAATGAACCCCTCATAAGTTTGGTTTTCTCCCACATATTTACCTGAAAATGACCCGTATGGTTCCATAAACCGACTCTTTATTTATACAGGGTCAAAATAATCCACAGTTCCTGCTGTTTTTGCTCTAAAATGAGGCTTAATTTCCTGGAAATTAGCTCTGTTCCAGCTTTAATTCAGTTTTCCATCTACCTGAGAGGAAACAACTCACACTTTCTGCTTTTTGTCTCCAGACTCTGCTCTGATTTCTGCTAAATGAG